TATTTAAGTATCACTTTATAATTTTTTGCAACTTATTTAAAATTAGAGGAATAAAATGATAAAAATTAATAAGATAAACATAATAAAATAAAATATAAAAAAATATTAATATATTTATTTTATTAGATATAACAACATAATTAAAATATAATTAATAATATATATTTTATAAAATTATTAATTTTATATATAAAAAAAATGAAACCGGAACGGCCCGTTCTGGATCCAGGTGTTATAAAAAAAATTGTCATACATCCACGTATGCATCTACGTGACATCCACGTGCCCAAAAGTTAACTCCGTTTAAATAATTTGGACGGAAAGTCCCACATTGAAATCAATTAATTAATTTGGGACTAAATTGAAACCAATTAATTTATTTGGGACTAAATTGAGACAAAAAATAAAAGTGAGACTACATTAAAACAAAAAAAAAATTATAAGGACCAAAATAAGTATCTAACCAAAAACATATAATTAAGAAAGCCTATCACGAAATTTTCTGATTGTGGAATGTAAATGATTTCCAATTTTCAGAGTGCATTTACTTTCACTGACAGAAACATTAAAGTATTTAATGCAAATAATAGTATGCTTCTTTAAATATGGACTTCTAAAAATAATTTTACATAACTTGATAATCACATTTATATATCTTTATTCAACTAGTTACTGAAAAATATTTTTTTATGAAATCTATTTTTCACAAACAAATATACGTCATGTAATAATTTTACAAATAAATAAGAAATAGAAATATAAACATAAGTGATACCATAAATTTATAAATAAAAATTGATATACATATATATATAGATTTGGATTGAATTGAATTGATTTTCAATCTGATAAAAATTCCATTTTTTTTCTAGTCATTTAATTTTGTTTTTGGTTTATTTGATGTTTTGGATTGTTCCGTTTGTTTATAACTTTATATTGAATTGGACCGATTTACGAACACCGTTTGTATTTTGCTCAATGATCTAGCCACCTGTGAACCGGTTCAGTTACAGTTGTATTATGCTGTTATCAACGGTGCCGAACGTAAGACTAAAGTCAGTAAAAATTAATGTATTTAAATAAATAATAATGATATATATAAATAATAAAATAAAATAAAAATATTATGAAAAAGGAAAAACACTCGATAATAATGAAATGTCCACCTCGATATAAAGCAACAAAAAAATACACAGCGCATTGAAAAATGACTAAAATATAAAAGAAACTAATTAATATAAGGTAAAAATAACAACAAACGAAAATATTAGTTATCAAGAAATATTTTATAATTAATATTGATTGATTATTTTATAATATGAGTTATTATATGATTATTTATTTTATTTATTGTATTATAAATGACAGGTTTAATTAAAAAAAATAGATTTGTAAGTTGTAACCAAACCTAATAAAATTTAGGAAACACCATATTGAAAAGTCGTATCCGATCCTTTATGAATATGTCATGTATCATGCAAACATGTTTTTAAATTCACAAATTATTCATATATGATGTAAGGTATGATACGATTATGGGATTATGTAAACATAATATAAGTTGCGAAAAAAAAAACATTTGTATTGATAAAAAATTTTTATTTGCTAAAAAAGAAGTTATTAGAGATGTTATTTTATTAATTTTGACATACAGTATCATTTAATTTGATCCTGTGTGTGTTATAGATTAATTTGTATTCGATAAACTTATAGCTACAGTTAAAGACACGGGGATATTGTTATTGTATTGTAAAATTCCAGAGACAGGGAATAACTTTATATATAATATGAACGATCACACTGTCGACGACCTTTCAAAAACGGAAGTAGAAAATGATTTGCCACGAATGAACTGTATATTGATGTTAATTATGTTCTACAACTCCACGTGGCAGTAGTATTTTTTTTTTTTTTTTTGTCATTACACATGAATCAAGAGATAAACACATATAATATATATTTTTTTTTTCAGTTGAAAGTAATTTTTTATCGATCATAATTATAATGACTACATCAAAATTTAAATCTAAAATCATGTACATATTATTCTAACCTCTATCATACTATTTAAATTTTTTTTTCTAAGAATTTGTTTTGATTTTACTTTTTTACTTTTTAATTTTTTAAAATACGTTAATTTATTTTCTAGTTTTATAGAGACTTTTTTTTTGCTTTTGATACTTATAAAATACATTTTTTATCCTCATTTCTCTGAAATTTAAAATTATTATTATTGGTTCCTAATGATTATTTTAAATAAATAAATCATATTTATTTTAAAATTTATAAAATAATTTAAAAATATCACATGCTAATATGATATTAGTGACAATTATGGATAATATCTAAAATAACCATTTAATTTCTAAATAAGCATATAAAATAGTTAAAAAAATAATCTCATAATAGTAAAACTAAAAATAATAGTTCTAATGATTTTTTTTTATAAAAAAAATAGAAATTAAAATCGAAATTTGATTATTTTGCAAGGATTAAAAGTATATTCAAACCTTAAATTTAACTAAAGTTATAAATTATAAAATAAAATAAAATAAATAAAATAATAAATAATATATCAAAGTAATTTAAAAAAATAGGTAAACCAAATTGATAAATAGCTTATACCAACACATTTTATAAAATATTTAAAACATATTTTTAACATGTCCAATATATCTCATTCAACTATAATGATTTTATTTTTGAAAAAATAGATCATCAAAATTGGTTTTTTTTTATCATAATGAAAATATTATATAT